ACAAGAAAAAAAAAAAAAAAAAAACTTGTGAAATTAGAAAAAGATGACCATTTTCTTTGTTACATACTGCAACTGTCTTCTTATCTTTCTAGTCTGAATTTTAAATCAGCCAGGTAGGTGAGTGACTCAGAAAATGAGTAGCTCATACCAGCACCATGGGAAGCACTGTGGTGCTGTGGACAGATTTGTGCTGAATATTCCACTGTGCAGCCTGAGCCATGGAACTCAACTCCTGGTGTCACTGACAGTGGAAGGCTAATGGGAACTCCTCTGGCAGGGCTGTCTGACCCTGAGGTGCCGTCAGCCCATACCTGGCATGTAGTAGGCCCTCAGTTCAGTTCAGTTGCTCAGGCATGTTCGACTGTTTGTGACCCCATTTGATGGGCCATCCCTTCTGACCCATCCAGGGGAGCTGTTTGTCTCAAACTGTTCCAAGTCTCTTGCCCTTAGCTGCCTTGGCAGCTCCTGCCAGCTTATCCTCACTCAACATCCACCATACCTGCCTTCCTGTTTTCTTTCCATTTTTGTCCATCCCTACTCTTCCTTTGATAGAGATGCGTCACAATGTCTTTTTCTATAATACTGTTCCTTTGTGATATTCCATCTTTAGTGTAATAGATATGCTGTTTCTTGCTCGGAATCACCTTCGAGGACTTTTTAAAAATTCAGATCAGCAACTTTGAGTTGTAGAGGAGCGAAAACCAGGGCAATGTAAATAACTGGGTAGAGCTAGAGAGAGGGAAGGGAAGTTAACAGTGAAGAAGGCCCTGAATGAGAGGGGCTGGGGAAGGAGATGTAAACACCCACACTGGCCTGGGCCAGCTCTTGCTTCTTGGCTAGACCCTGTGGTCGGGGCCTGGCAGTGTCAGGGGCTTATACTTAACTATTCTAGTTTTCCACTGTCCTAGAACATGCTGTAAAAGCTCATGGCACAAAGGATGCTATAGCTTCTACCTTATAACAAGGGGGCTATGGAAAAGCACAATGAAACCGTCAGGATTGCTGATCATGTGATATATTCCTGGAAATTAAAAACCTTTAGGAATTAACTCTTTTTAATTGTCTCCACTAGCCCGCTTTTGACTGGACAAATGTTGGAGAGAATTGCCACAGAATTTAATCAGTTACAGTTTCATGCTGTTGAAAGCAAAGTCTTGCCTCTTTTGGACAAAATAAGACCAGTAACTGTTGTTTTAGATTTTTCACACTTTAGTATTTAGAAATTTGCTAAATAATTCTGATTTTACCTGGTACACGCAGACCTTGTTTTATTGCCCTTAGATTTATTGTGTTTCACAGATACTGCACTTTTTTTTTTTTAATTGAAGGTTTATTGCAGCTCTGCATCAAGCAGGTCTATCACCATGCTAGTACCCTTTTAAGAGCACTTTCTCACTTCAAGTGCTGTTATCTCTGTATCTCATTCTGGTAGTTTTCACAGTATTTCAAACCTCCACCAACAAAATGATGATAGCTTACTGAAGGTTCCCATGATGGTTGCATTTTTTAGCAATAAAGCATGTTTTAATTAAAGTAATTAAGGTCTGTATCTTGTTTTTTTTACACATAATGCTTTTGCCAGCTCAATATACTGTATATAGTTCAGTATAAACATACGCTTTATATCTGCTGAGAATCCAAGAAACCCCCATAACTGGCTTTATTGTTCTAGTAGTCAATTTATTGTGAACCACACTTTATTTATTAGAACCACACTTGCAGTATCGCCAAGGTATGCCTGTATTGTTCTGACAGTTGTTGATCTGCAGGATTTTGAAGCTAGCTTTGAATTTTCTCTTTCAGTTTTTGTTTTTTAGGCCCCTGCCTCCTAAGTGTCGCACATTATAGATTTTGTGTAAAGACACAGGCATATTCTCTGAGTTATAAGGGTAAAATTAATTCTAAATTTCATGTAACTTGACACACTATATGATTTAGTTAGAATTAATTTATCCAAAACTCTTGACTGGACTTTAGAATCATGATGTTTGTCAGATTTACTCTGTAGCTTAAAAGCACCTCATTCTGAAGTGATATCTAAATCCTCCTTTGATACAGCAAAGATTAACTTACAAAGAGATGTGAGAAGGAGGAGGAGAGATTCATTGTTCCTCTCCAGAAAATGTTAATATTTAATTTTACATATCTTCTGTTGGAATAAGAAATTTGTTATGTGTGTGTTTGGATCTTTAGAAATGATTACAACTGGAGCTTTTTAACCTGTCTTTCTTGCAGCAGATAGCTGGTATTACAGCCATGTTACAACAGTCACTGGAAGGCCTCCTATTAGAAGGTCTTCAGACTTCCCGTGTCAATATTATTTGGCACTGCTTACGGACTTACACCACAATTGACAAGACACGGGATGCAGAGGCATTAGTTGGTCAAGTCTTCGTGAAACTGTACGTAGATGAGGTTTGTGTACTGTTGAATAAGGCCTTCATTCAGCAGATGTTCAAGTTCATAGAGCATCTGCTCTGTGTTGGATGCTTTACTGGGTGTAAGGGGTAGTTTAGAGGCCTTTCTGTGAAGACTCTCAGTTACTGTAGTACCATCAGTTGGAAGAAAAGGTTGGTCCCTGGTGGTGACAACCGGCATGCAGGAGTCAGGCACCTTCTCAGTGTTTTTTAGTGATGCCGTAGCCCAGGGATCATGTTAATTTAGTGGGAGGAGGGTCTTGCCTAGGGAGAAGGAATGTATCAGAACATTTTTAGGTCAGTTTTATGGTATGTAAATTATTTGCCACTAAATTCTTAAAATGAATTTTTAACTGTTGGTCTAGTGGGTAAACTGGAACAAGCAAGCAGATACCAAAGCTGCAGTGTAAGTTCCTGGTGAGGGCGCCTGCTGAAACCCTGACCATGGAAAGTGTGCTGAAGGTTGTCTTCACAGAGATGTGGCCTAAATCTTGAATACTGAGGAGTCTCTTAGCCAGGAAGGTGGGAGGGAGGAAATAGGCATTGATGCAGGACTTTCATAGGCAAATTAGCAGCATAATACCCTAAGTCCAGAACTTGAATATCCAGTGTCCTTCATCTCCAAGGATGCAGTTAAACTTTGGAAAGTAAGCATATTCTGCCTTTGAGCAGCCAGGATGTAGACTGTACCATATGAAGTTGCCAATACTCAACATTTTCTGATACACAAAAGCGGCAGCTTCATCTGGTTCAAACTGGTGAAAGTCACAAGCCCATCCTCAGTGTTTGCAGACTCTCTCCAGTCCTCTGTCCGTGTGGATGCTCTTCCTGTCCAGTAAGGACAAAGCCCTGTTCACCGTGACTTTAGGATGAAAGCCTCCCATTTATAAATGGGGGACATGGAATCCCATTGATAAAAATGAAATGTAAGGATTAACTTTAGTAATCCTTTCAGCTTTTATTAGAGTTACTAAAAATAAATGATCTGTCAGTTTCCTCTCTTCCTATCCTGTTATATTTCTTACCTAACTTGATAAGACTGAAAAAGACAACTTACCTACATTATTTCTCTCAGTAAGTGAAAATCGTTACTAACTTATGCCTTTGTTTTTCATTGAACTGAACCTAATGTGCTAAATGAGAGAAACATTTGATGTTTCAGTGGCATATTAAACCAAGGCCTCATTTTAAATTTTTTTAAATTCGTATGCTTGTCATTAACCTCTTGACTCTCAACCTTAACACAAAAGATAAAATAATAAAGTAAAATAAAATATATATTTCCATCTCTCTCTGTCTCACGCCTTCCCCTGATCTAAATTATGGTAGAAGAAAAGGCCGAGGTCAGTACAGGGAGGGGCTGTTGTTATGGGAAATTGTCATTTTATTTTGTTTTCAGTCTCGGGAGGGGAGGAGGCAAATGTGCTTGGCTTTCCAGCTTCAGGCCAGTCTCTGTCACCCAGGCTGTGTCTCCCCTGGGTCAGAGCTGTGCTTCCAAACCCTGAAACTAGTTCTGAGTATAGCTGTTACTGTTAGAAAACATGTTAGCTGGGGAGGAGGGGGCATGACGAAGCATAGTTTTGAGGTTTTCTCTATTTTTCCTGTAGTGTGTAATTCATACCTCTCTTTGAGATGCTTTTTTAAAATGCTATTCATTTAATAGGTGATTCTAGAGCATATTGTCGATAGTCATCTGACTGATCTCCAGTTCATGTATGATAAACTCTTGGAGTTCGTTCCCCATCACTGCCGCCTTCTTCGAGAGGTCACAGGAGGAGCCATCTCAAGGTAGTTTAAGCAGCTGTACTCGGAACTTGTGCCTGCTGATTATTGCTGCCTCGTTTGGGTCGGGTTCATATGCGCTCTCTGGTGAATTGTTAGCATGGCGCTATGAGGTGGGTATGGGTCACCGCCTCAGAAGGAAACTGTAATGAGTAGGGCAGAGGTAAAGGGTGCATCTTTGTGAATTCACAACCCATACTTCCCCTTTTGTGTACTTTTTCCTCAATTACATGTGAAATAAAAGTTGGTTTCCTTCCATTATTCTGATGTTGTAATCTGTTTATGAATATGAATTCCGTGTAATTCAACAAGTTTTATATTAATTGTGGTTAAAGTCATCTTCAGTTTTCCCTCCTCTTGCCTGATTTCCATACTTTTCGCTTTGTTTCATAAATACCCGGCTGCCTTTCACCATCAACACTGGCCTGATCCGGGCCTTTGTCGTAGTTTTATCCAGAATAACAGGATCTGCCCACCCCCTCTCCCTGCCTCCACCCTCTCTCTTCTCACCCTTCCCCTCTGCCCTTCGGCTGTCACACTGACCCACAATTCTGATATTTAGGCACTGCCTTCTTCCTAAGTCTTTAGTGGCTTCTTGTTGCGTGTGGAGGAACGTCTAGGCGTCTTGATGCGGCGTACGAGGCCCTGCGCACTCCGGCCTCAGTGGTCCTTGTGTGTGGCGTTCTGTGGGCTTCCCTTGCTCCGCTGGTCCCCGGCACACATTTGGTGGGTCTGTGTTTTTCCTCAGAGTCCTCTGCCTTTCCCTTTCTTTTTGTTGATCTGTCATCCTGTGTGAAACCCAACTCAGATGCCACTTCCTTCAAGAGACCTCCCACCTTCCATCCTGAAGTCTGGCTTTCGTCCTGTTCTCTGCAGGTGATTGCATGTTGCTCTCACTTCTGTTGAGGACTAGTTTCCATCTTAATAGCTTGCTCCCATCCTGCACAACCCATACTCCCCACCCTTAGCACAGTGTCTTAAGACAGCAACTATCCAATGTTTGCGAAATGGAAGACTCAGTCAATTTGCAGCACTAGAAAGGCAAGTCAAGTCCCTTTCTTCATGGAGTGAAAATTATTTTTAGCCTTGAAATTTTTTTTTTTTTTTTTTGAAAAGAGAAACCTGGGGAATAAATGTGCTGATTGACTGGGAAGTACCCTCTCTGTTTCCACAAGATGATTTCAGATGATTTGTTTTGCCACTTTTGTGTAATAATCATCAAGATTTAGTTGGGTTTGGGTTTGGGGTAGGAATTTAATAGAAGTCATCATGTGAAATTAAAGAGGCCACAGTAACGAAACAACCAATTCTTAGATTTGACAAGCCTAGTCTTGGTCCTGAAATGTCAAGTTTCATGCCTCACATGTTTGTTCTTTTCCACAGTTTTCAGGGTGGCAGAACTCATGTAGAAAGCTCAGAAATTTGAGTATCTAGACTGCACCTTGGTAGGTCACCTGCCTTTGCTTCACGCCGCATCGTCTTGTTGCCCTGGACCCTCCCTTGCTCAGCATCTGCCTTTGGGTGCTCTGTATACCCAGCAATAGCAGTGATGTTCAGGAGTTATTTTCCAGAGGACGTAAATTAGCTTTTCTAACTGTTGATCTTGCAGTTAAATTTTCCTTTTGAGGCTTTAATTGTATATTTAGTTTGGAAATGAGGTGATCTTGTCATTCATTGTTGCTCACATTATGTGCATTTGTATTCTACAATCTTCAATTTTGTTCCCTCTTCCTATACCTTATTAGAGCTAGTTCTTATTGGGATTAAAAGTATATGATATGATACGTGGAACTGGGTATGTGGCACATAGGCATCTCCTTTCCCTCATCAAATATAAAGAAAATTACCTTAATATAGAGCATGTTAACAATGCAGCAAAGTGGGTAGGTCAGTGAGATGGTGTTGCCTAAAGATATTTACAGATTTTTTAAGTAGAGAGAAACTTAAGTAACCCGCCTTTTTATTTATGTACTGTGTATTTAACACTATTAAGATAGCACTTACTATATGCCAGTAAGTGCTAAATGCTTTACAAACCGTACACCACCCTAAATGCTTTACAAACCTTATTCCATATAATGACCCTATGATTTTTTTTCCCATTTATTTTTATTAGTTGGAGGCTAATTACCTTACAACATTGCAGTGGTTTTTGTCATACATTGAAATGAATTAGCCATAGATTTACATGTATTCCCCATCCCGGTCCCACCTCCCACTTCCCTCTCCACCCAATCCCTCTGGGTCTTCCCAGTGCACCAGGCCCGAGCACTTGTCTCATACATCCAACCTGGGCTGGTGATCTGTTTCACCCTAGATAATATACATGTTTTGATGCTGTTCTCTTGAAACATCCCACCCTCGCCTTCTCCCACAGAGTCCAAAAGTCTGTTCTATACATCTGTGTCTCTTTTTCTGTTTTGCATATAGGGTTATCGTTACCATCTTTCTAAAGTCCATATATATGTGTTAGTATACTGTAATGGTCTTTATCTTTCTGGCTGACTTCGCTCTGTATAATGGGCTCCAGTTTCATCCATCTCATTAGAACTGATTTAAATGAATTCTTTTTAATGGCTGAGTAATAATTCCATGGTGTATATGTACCACAGCTTCCTCATCCATTCGTCTGCTGATGGGCATCTAGGTTGCTTCCATGTCCTGGCAATTATAAACAGTGCTGCGATGAACATTGGGGTACATGTGTCTCTTTCAGATCTGGTTTCCTCGGTGTGCATGCCCAGAAGTGTGACCCTATGATTTTAAAGATAAGGAAATCAAAACACGGTTAAATGACCCGAGATTTGAACTCAGGTGCTGTGGCTCCTCAGAGCATGATCTTCTCTCAGTGTTCTCTCTAAGTGTGTGAATTAGAAACTCAGAATTTGGCCTTTTTGCTGACAATGCAAAATAAAGCATGTGCATATGGAAACCATGAATGTTATCAGTTATTTTTTGTATTAAGAGTTGTAATCCAGATTTTACATGAAATAGTCATAGAACATTAGACCTGAAGGTAATCAGAGATAGCTGAGTCACACAGCTGTTAGTAATTGGTAAATCGGTGTGATTAACAGTGTTTTAGAGCTGAGTGGTGTTAAGGTTGAATACAAAGATTGCTTTTCTTGTGGTACTAGATTGCTGCTTTTTTAAGATAGTGTATAAACATGGTAGCCCATTTAAGGGGAGAAAACTGTGCCACGGCAAGTCGGCCTAGTTTTCCATTATCCTTGACCCCAGCTGTCTGCTATGTTTGCTATAATTGTAGGAGTCAGGACACAGAGGATGTGTCAGGTTCTAGGTGAGAATGAGATCAAGGAGTGAAATAGAAGTTTGAGCCTAAAAACAAAATAATTGACAAATACAGTTGTTTTTAAAAGGTTGAAGTAAATTTTAGGCTGAGGAACTTTTATTTTACTAAAACACCACAGTGGAATTTGGCTTTTTGTAAGTAGGTGTTTCTGGTGTATTTGACTGAAATTTTTCTCTTATCTTACAGTGAAAAGGGCAATACTGTTCCCAGCTATGATTTTTTGGTGAATTCTGTCTGGCCAGAAATAGTACGAGGATTAGAAGAAAAGTTACCCTCACTTTTCAATCCTGGGGATCCTGATGCATTTCACCAGGAAACTTTCCCTCTGTTGTCTTGATTCTTGAAGGTGTTAACCTGAGATAATCATGTCTTTTTTGCACAGTCTTTTGCACAGTTCTGTGGTTTATTGAAGATCACAGTCTGAGTTGTGGAGCCAGCATTTACCTTAAAAATACACACATTATTTTATTCAGGTCATAGTCTCTGATACTTTGGGGACTAAGAATATTTTTTAGAATGTAAGGTAGAATTCAGTCGAGAAGCAGTTATGACTAGATATGGTTGTTTTTTATGTAAATTTTAAAAGAAAGATCTTAAGGACTGTTGAAAGCAAATCTCTTTACAGTTGTTTTTGATGAAAAATTAAGTTTGTAGAACTCTGCTCTATCACTTTGAAGGAAAATAAGAAGTAGTAATTGGATTATAGTATATATATTATATAACTAATATTGTAATTATTAATGTAGTATAAAAATGTCCTATATAATTTGAAAGATTAGGAAGCTTTGATATTCCTTTTTAAAAAAAAAATCATGTATTTTATTTAAAGGACTTCGTGGTTGATATAGCAAAAGGAAACCCATATGTTAATTTTCCATTTTTTAAAGATGTTATGCAGTGTCCTGGAGAGGAATGAAGACTCTAGGCCGAATGGCTGAGTCTGCACCCCGCTCTCCTGCTCAGCCTCTTGGTGCCTCTCCTCCTCCTCCTGCTCTGGATTTTGATTTTTGTTTTTTTATTTTTTTTATTCAATATGACAATCTTTGTCTTATAATTAGGTAATTTATTAAATTAACAATGATCGTAGTGACGGATATATTTGCGGGTTTTTTAGTTCTTCCTATTTGTCCCATTTTTCTTCCTTCTTTTCCTTTCTCTTGTCTTTTTTTTTTTTTTTCTTTCCCACCTCTTTATTTTGCACTTTTGGGAGTTTGTTTTTCTCATTTGTTCTCTTTTACCCCTCTACTAATTGGAAGTTCTGCCCTCCATTTATTTGTGTATTAAGTAACCTTAGTGTTTACTTAAGAGAATTTAAAGTTACTGGTGTTCTTCAGGCTCCCATACAGCACAAGGATCTTAGATGCCAATCAGGCCATTCCATAGTATATATTAGTTACCAGGGTCTTATTTCTATTTTTATTTTTTTATGCCTCCCAATTGGGCATTACTTTTATTACTTTAACATGGCCATCATCCTCCTCTCAAAATTATTCCACATGTTTATCATTTCCTTTGCTTATTGTTCCTTCTTGGATGTTATACCTACCTCTTCTCTTGGATCATTTTCCTTCCTCCTGAAATTCATCTTTTATGAATTTCTGTTGATAATAAATTTCAATGTTTTATGATAAACCCTTGGTTAATATTTGTTTGAAAATAACTTTATACCTTTTATGTTTGAAAGGTAGTTTTG